ATGAGGGCAGCCGGCAGTCCCTCACGGGGAAGGGCGCCGGGCTGGTGACACATTCCGTCAGCTAACTGAACGCAAAATAGAGCTCAAAAGTTTATACAGTCTGCTGCACAGCGCGAGGCGGGGCGAATACTTGCGCGCTGTTGCTGCTGCTAACGCAACGAGACTCGTTAATAACTTTGGCCGAGGTAGGGGAGAGAGGGAGAGACTTCAGGAAATATGGCGAGGGTCTCCTACTCGAACGACGCCAGAAGTCCTTCCCTCAGCTCGCTCGCCCGGCTCGGCCCGGCGGGCTGCAAATGTGGTCCTCCTGCTGCCTGGTCTGCTTTTATGAACGACGAGTCCTTGTGCAGCACACACACACACACACACACACACACATACATACACACACACACAACTTTATGTGCCCACTTAGTGAGGTAGCCGCGCGAAGCACACGTCCTGCCCGCAGCAGAACGAAAATCTACTCTGTCCTCATCCCGGAACGCGCGTCTGTGTGTGTGAAGTGAGAGCACGGACACGCATGTGTGTGAAAGTGTGAGTGTCTGTGTTTGTCTGTGTGTGTGTGTGTGTGTGCACGCAGCGCCGCGCCGCACTTGCGCACAGGTATGTAAAGTCGAGGAATGGACTGCGGCAGCGCGGCAGTCAGCCCTGCTGGCCCCGAGCTGCACGCTCTGCGCGGCCGTGCACAGCGCACAGCAGGACCTCTGGCTCTAATTAGGCGAGAGGAGGGGGGAAGGGAGAGAGAGGAGGGGATTTTTTTGAGTTTTACAAATGGGACGTATTGGGTGATTTGCTTACAATGTGGCCTGAGTTAATCTGGTTAACGTCTCAATACTAATTCTATAGTGCACTATGACACAAAAAATGAAATGTTTAACTTTTACATAAAAGTGTTTTGCTACGTTAGGTAACTAACATTTGTTCGTGTTATCATAAGTAAAATTACGGAGCCCTGGGGTCAGTTTGTTTCAGGAATTTTGATGACACTAAATGGGGTGACCGAGGAGAGAAAATTATAATATCTTGTGTCACTTAGTTAGTTCAAAAGGTACTTGAAACAAGAAATCATTTTTCCTCGTGCACTATCAGACGATGTCATGGGAGAGCATGTCTCCTCGTTGACTATTGCTGAGGAGACATCCTCAAGCTACATTGTATTGTAGGGGGGAGACAGTTCTTCGACTGCACTCCTCCCCCGAAGCACATAGGGAGTGCTCGGTGAATCGGTGATCAGCGCCCGGGGATGGTATGCAAGCAAGCGTGCACAGGGCAGTAGTCGGTCGTTACCGTACCGCCCCAGTGTTTCACCACGGAGGTTCACGGTTCGGTTCCTCACGAACTAACTCAAAGGGTCTTACATAAACACTTGCTCACCTGCTTGGCGCGCTGGTTGACGTCGGCCAGGTGGAACAGCCGGCGCACGACGTGGCGGTGCGTCTCGGTGCGAACCTGCGCCAGCGACACAAGCATCACGCTCGTGTAGCCCGCCGTGTTCACCACGTCCACGTTGCACACCTTGGAGTCCAGCAGTACCGACACTACATCGAAGTTGCCGTGCGACACCGCGTAGTGCATAGCCGTGTTGCCCTGAAACAGAGGAGGATTGGGTTCATTGGACAACGTGGATAGAAACGAGTCATTTAGAAATTGCCGCGAGAGTCGGGGATGTATGAGGAGGAGGTGGGCTGAGCAACCCCGTGGGATTGTTCGTCGTACTGTACCGCACGCAAGCGCGTGGGCGAGCTGCTCTGGGCCTCAGTGGACACAGGCGACCGATTGCATGCCAGCTGTCGCGTAATTTCGTATTTCGAAAAACAAATAAGGGACAATACTCCGCTATTTATCCCCCAAAATGGAGGTTGCTTCATAAAAAAACATTCTTTTTTCAGATAAAAACAATTTTGCAGGTAGGACAACTTACGCCCAAGTACTTTTAAAGTCGTGTTCTCGTTCAGTGTTGGTTTTACATGTATCATATACGAAACAATAAACACGCATTAACTGTCCGCTTGAGTGTGAGTGCAGGTAGGCTAACATAGCTGCTGGCTGCTGGCACAGTCTGGCGACCCCGGACCGCGTGAGCGGCTGGGCTGGGAGACACAGACTACACGAATGCCACGCATACCTAGGCGGGCGCGGGGTTCGAATCGCGGCGGCGTTCGTCCTGTTGCTGGCGCTGTAGTGCATGATTTCCCACAGGCCGTCCTGGCCTGCAGCACGCTCATGGGGGTCCCCGGCCGGGCTCAGAGGCCGGGCCGACCAAGCGCGGCGGCGCGGCGGCGGCGTA